AAACAAGCCAATTCACTTCGTGAACTCGGCAACCAGGTTACCGTTTCTTTTTTACCTCTGATATTTTTTGGCGGTAACCATAATGGTGGTCGAGTAGATCATGTTGTGCGGGGTGGAGAACCCTCACTCCGCGCAAGGGGGATGATCGCACCACGTTGTGTTAAAATGGTCAAGCACCCTCGAGGCAGTTACACAGTGCTTACAACTGTCTCTGGAAGTGAAAGCACCAGAAAATAAATTAATTCATACGCAGCTGTCATCCGTACGCAAGGAAGTAAGCACAAGATGCCGAACACCCTTAGCAGGATGCAGCGCACCCTTCATGCGACTCGCCGAATATCTCACGGCGCTTCGCGCTTGGTGATGTGAGAGCCTGGTCCGGTGAGAACCCGGCGTGCTCCGTCCCGGCTTTGTAGGGATGCGAGGTCAATGGTCTAACGACTACGGCATGCATGACTATGAGTGCCCCCTATTGGCTTGGGATAATCCCCCTCAACTAACGGCGCTCCCCGTAAACAACGGTCACCCCACCTCCATTGTAGGCACTCTTATTTTCTTTTGGGCGCCTTTTGGTGCCGTGTTCGGACGGCGCAGTGCTCTTGGGAATGATGTAGTTCCGCTGCATTTCTTGGGCCGATACACTGTATTCCCTGATCACATACACTGTATTTGTTGACCAGATACGCTAAGCACTGTATTCCCTGAGCAGCGTTACTTTATTCCCTCGACAGATACACCGTATTCCCTCTCTCGTTTGTCCGTATTACTTCACTAACTACACGTTATGCCCTGGTCAGGATTACTGCATTCCCTTATACGATACACCGCAGTCCCTCGTTCGTTTCACTGAACTCCCCCATCAGGTTCACTTCATTCCCTCATCCGATATGCTGTGCTCCGTGGAATGCAGCGACTCTGCTCAGGAAATACAGTGTATCTGATGAGGGAATACAGTGAATCTGCTCAGGAAATACCGTGTATCTGACAAGGAAATACAGAGTATTGGATCAGCGATGACAGCGTGTCTGGTTAGGGAATACAGCGCATCTGACGAGGGAATGTAGTGCATCTGACGACGGAATACAGGATATCTGATCAGGGAATGCAGTGAATCGGACGCGAGGGCTACAGTGAATCTGACGAGGGAACGGCTCAAAACCACGTATCTGCTCCACCAACCTTTGAGCCATGAGTTCCCGCGGGTGAACGTTTCTCACCACCCACTGGTCGATTGTACGACAACGCAAGTCTTTGTAGGACAAAGGATGTCATGCGGATGGAGTTTGGCCTGGTGGAGCAGTTAAGCTCCACCGGCCCTTGAGGGAGCTATAGGTGGGCGTTTCTCTGAATCCCCTCGTCCGATCGGCGTGCCTGATGGCCTGTATGATAGCTGTGGGACGTGCCAACACAATGAAAGTCGTTGTAGAGCAAGCAGCACCCTTTATTTAGAGTTTGGCCTGGTGGAGCAGTTTAGCTTATCTGCTCCACCGGCCGTTGAGCCACCGAGCCCCCGTGGGTGGGCGTTTCCCTTCAGCCACTAGTCCGATCGGGGTGTACGTTGGATTGAATGATAGCTGTGAGTCGTGACGCCACCTTGCAAGCCTTAGCAGGACAAACACCACCCTCTACATAGAGTTTGGCCTGGTGGAGCAGTTAAACTCATGTGCTCCACTGGCCGTCGAGTGACTGAGCACCCGCGGGTGGGCGTTTCTCTGCACCCGCTGGTCCGATTGGGGTGCATCATGGCTTGAATGATAGCTGTGACCCGTGCCAGCACAGCGCGTGCAGAGGTAGGCGTGGTTCCGCGATGCGGCGGGAGATACACCGGAACAAGTGACATTTACCTTTCCCCCCTAGATCCCCCCTCCCCCGGTGTTTGCCATCGGGGTTGGGTTTTCGTCGCTTGGCAACGACGTTGTAAAACAAGCCAATTCACTTCGTGAACTCGGCAACCAGGTTACCGTTTTTTTTTTTACCTCCGTTTTTTTTTTTGGCGGTAACCATAATGGTGGTCGAGTAGATCATGTTGTGCGGGGTGGAGAACCCTCACTCCGCGCAAGGGGGATGATCGCACCACGTTGTGTTAAAATGGTCAAGCACCCTCGAGGCAGTTACACAGTGCTTACAACTGTCTCTGGAAGTGAAAGCACCAGAAAATAAATTAAGTCATACGCAGCTGTCATCCGTACGCAAGGAAGTAAGCACAAGATGCCGAACACCCTTAGCAGGATGCAGCGCACCCTTCATGCGACTCGCCGAATATCTCACGGCGCTTCGCGCTTGGTGATGTGAGAGCCTGGTCCGGTGAGAACCCGGCGTGCTCCGTCTCGGCTTTGTTGGGATGCAAGGTCAACGGTATAACGACTACGGCATGCGCGACCATGAGTAGTCTACACCGCCCCCCCCCTAGATGCTGCGGAACCCCCTCTGCTGGTCATATCTCTGCGGGAACATATTAGATGGGAGTGTCCCACAGCTTGGAAGAATGCAATGGACCCTGCGAACACGACGAAAAAGGTTCGAGGCCAATGAACGCTCTATGGACGGAGGTTGGAGACGATAACTGCTTGCTGACAGGTTGCGGAGACCCCCCTTCCAGCATCTCTCTTCTGCCACCGGTCGGATCTAGCTCCAAGTAGCATTCATTGCAGAAAGCTGTAGTCCATAGCTACACGATGCAATTAGTTTTTAGGTCGATTGGAGCTCTGTGGGTAGAGATCTGCCTGGCGGAGCAAATACGACGCTACTCCACCGGTGAAGCATGTAGCGTTGCCAAAATACGGCAAACATAAATCAAGGAAACATTTCGCCCCTTTGCTCTTCTGGTGTAATTCCAGAAGCACGACGAATCGCGCCCCGTTTTTTGCAGCAGGTCCACCGGGATAAAAGGAAGATGGCCGTACTTTCAATCGTGATGAAAAATGATGTACGTAGTGACCAGAAACAGGGTTTCTAGTAAGGAATTTCATTGGACGATTATCCCTATGAAAACGTTTGGACGTCCCTGGTTCAGTATGCTGTAGGGAAGATGGTAATGCTGCACCAGCAGCCGCTTGTTTTGCGACCACAACGCCATTTTCCGTTTGAAAATTTTCCAATTCTTCGAGTGTCAGGAAAATCGTGCGTCGAGACCACCAGTAGTCGGACACAGTTTGACCTTTGAATACGATTGCAGCAACCAGTCTGCGTAGCAGTAAAAAAGAATCCATCTCTCCTTCGCGTGTATTCTCTTGTTCTAGAAATATTCCGGAAGCATGCTAGGTCAAGGTTGACCGGGACATCTATGTAGAACGTGGGTAGCTTCTGGAAGCCTTCTCGAAACTTCTGGTTCCTTCTGTAGCTTCTGGAAGCCTTTCTGGAAACTTCTGGTTCCTTCTGTAAGCTTCTGGAAGCGTTCTAGATCTAGGTTGCAGTTGATACTCTTCTAGAACTTAGGAGGGCTTCCAGAAATCATTCTGGAAGCATTCTGGATTTTTCGTGTGATTGACTTTATTTGTCCGGTATTCTAGAAGAGTGGTGCAGTCCTAAGCTCGCCCACTCCTCTCACTCCTCGTCAGTACCAGCAATATCTGACTCGGGAGTCAGCAACTAATAAAAGCATCTTCATATTTCCATTCCAAATCTCTCGCGGTTGGCGACGCACATAGTGTGAACTTCTGAGGTAGGCTACACAGCCTCCTGGCATCTGCAGCATCGTACTGCTGCTAGTGCACAGCGAAATATCGCTGACATCGAGGAATAGATAGCTTTCCCGCGAAGTCAGTTTTGGCTAATTACTGGCCTACCACAAAACATATTTGGGCCAAAATACCCTAAGAAGGGCAAAAACACTTTCTTCCGTGCGTGGTAATCCGCATGGATGGATGATTTTGTGTATGTCTACGTAGATTTCTATAAACACCATGCATGGCCGGCCTGCGGACAACCCTTGGGGGGCATGTGCTGGGTTCCCACGACGCTAGCCAGACCGTGGGCAGCCCATCATGGACATTTTATTTGCCCGTGATCGCCGGTTGCTTCAGTGCGCGAGTGACCGTCATGGGTTGCCCATGGGTCGCCCACCATGGGCACGTGCCCATAAACCGCCCATGAGCAGCCCATGATGGGCAGTTGTATGAGTGCCCACGGTGGGCTGCCCATTGGCTGCCCACCATGGTACACGTACCCACGGGCAGCCCATGGGCTGCCCACGGTGGGAGGTCGCGTGAGTGCTCACCATAGGCTGCCCATGGCTGGCTCATTGCCCATGGGCGGCCCATGGGCAGCACATGATGAGCATGCTCGTGCTAAGCCTATGATGGGCATTTCATGGGCCGCCCATGGGCAGCCCATGGGGGGGGCCACGGGTCACCCATGAGTAGCCCATGGGCAGCCCATGGGGGGCCCATGAAGTGCCCATGGGCGGCCCATGGGTGACCCATGGGTGATGGGTGCCCCATGGGTGCCCCATGGGTGCCCCATGTGCCGCCCATGGCTCATTTGGGAAAACTGTCATTAGTGTGGGAGATTGTTCCGGTTCCTCCCACACATGAGGAGTGATAGTCTCCGGACCAAGGGCAAATACACTCGTCGTTCGTTTCACATCATAGCCGATGCATCAGGCCACCCAACTGACCCTGTTGCGTACCCATGTCTTTGGTGTTGATACTTTATCCTGACGATGCAGATTGCCTTGCCTTTCGGATTCACCAGCTGCATGAAGTCCATCAACACTGGCTGGCACGCGGGGCAGCAGTTGCTGAAGTCAGAAGCGGTGATTATGTCGGCCAGGCAGTCGGGGAAATATGATGCCGGCATGCGTGCCGGTACAACGCAGGTCCTAGGACAAGTCCCAATTGCTCCTGTGGAGGAAGATACTGGTGCTGGGCCCACCCATGCGCAAACCGAGGCGGCTTGACTGCGATGTCCGGCAAGGGCGGGACCGACGGGTGGAGTCGCTTCAATGCGATCAGTCGGAAGAGGCACCGGCCCCATTTTCGGAACAAATTCGGGGAGCATTCAGAAACCATCCATCTACCCTCACCTCGTATCCCGTTGACTGTTGAGTCGCTGCGGCCCTCCGGTACTTTCACATCAACTTATCGAGTTTCCAAGTCTACGCAGGACGTCGGATTTTGTTCCAGAGCATCTCGGGTAGAAAGAGTGTAGCAGTCAAGAACATGTCCGGCATTGTAGCAAATCGACAAAAGAATACCCGACCGTCAAACTCCTTTTCAGCCGGTCAACAATTCACTGGAGCAGTACATTATTGGTCGCCCCGGTGGTCTAGTGGGTAACCTCGCTGCCTTCTAAGGGCCAGGTCATGGGTTCGTGTCCCGGCAGAGTGAGTTATTTTTCTCTCTAAATAAATCCTGGTCTAGGATGAAAGCGACGCGCTGCAAAGCTCGTTGTCAGTAAACCATAATCGACTTCGTGAGTCGCGAGGGAAGGGATTGCGGTACCCTTCTCGCGATAAAAATCCCTCAGCCAGGAACCGCAGAAGGGGGTCCAGCCCCCCCCTCCTATACCATGTGACCCCGGTTGGGTCGTCTAGCTAGTAGAAGTGGAGGATAGGGGCCAGAGGGGCAGACGACAGAGTCCAATGATGGGAGACAAAATAATGTATATATATATACTACAGTTGATCCGAGTGTGTGGGCCTTCCTGTTTCAGTAGTAGTGCGTTTCAAGTGTGTGTTCGAATATTCACTGTTAATCGTGCGCGACATCTGAACTCGTGCAACAAGTGTGCACGGTATCACATAGCAGCAGCTCGTTGAGATTGTCGAACCTTTGGGTATAGATTGTTGCACACGTCATTGAATGCATGCAACTCATGCCCTCGAGACATGCCGAACGGTAATAATACTGTATGACACAAGCGTAAAATAGGTGGGGTACGGAGTGCATGTTGTTTTCGTTTCTAGGCTTCCCGGAGGATGCATTACCCGATCCTATCGCACGCGCTGACTAGGTTGAGTGTTTGGTGGCGTGTGGTTTCGAATTTTCGACTAAAACTCATAGAGATTTGAATCATCATGTTGCTTGGCCGTTTCGCATCAACCGCTGGCTTCGTCCGTTCTCCCCGTTTCTAGTGCTGGCTATTGCTGCCTCCTGTTGTAGCAAAATACGAGTTCGTTTCGTACCACGACACCGTTGGTGTCGGTTGTGCCGAGTTTTTTCTTCTGTATTTCACACGAGCGGTTTCTCTTGACCGCGTTACTAGCTTTCGACCGTCTTACACGTGTTGCAGGTTGTGGTATGGTTCGTTCCTGATCGATTTGAATGGAAAATACTTGGACGGGTTGTTATTTAGCGGCATATGGAGCGCCTGAGGTAGACTGATATTAGTATTTTCCATTCAAAATTGTACACAAAGCAGAGATCAGATCCCCACAGACCGAGCTAGCTCTTTCGACGGCATGTCCCTTGTGATCGGTTAGGACATGAGTGATATCTAGCTTCATCTTGATGCATCTTTTTCTGCTTTAAACCGCCCATGGGCACCACGTAGGGCCCATGGGCGCCAATGAGGGAACCAGCGTACTCCTAAACGGTTTTTCTACTAAAGAACGCGCCACCACTTCAGAACTTAGGAGGTAAGATGTTGAGCCTCAAATAATTCAGAATAATAGAACTTGGTCATGAGAACCGGTGCTCAGTTCCGACGTGGCATACAGAACAAGAACCCGCCCTCATGGTGTACCAATGCGCACACAGAGAAGAACGGAGCCCCAAAACGCGGCGGCTGCAAGACAATAACTCAGGAAAGTTGGCGGTGTCCCAAACAGCAGTTTGTTTCAGATTCGAGGCGGGGAGGGGCAAAGGACCTCGTGATAAAAAGATTGTACGCCTGATGCGCGGAGGGGGCGGGCGTACTCTCTCTCATGTTTCGCATGTCTTAGAGGTTAGACCATTGACCACACGTCCTCGAGAGGACGCATACCCACAGGACCGACCTTCGATGGCCAACCATTCCTTCCAATATACTTCAAAGTACTCCGCCAAAGGTGTTTCAATAATGTCTTTCCTATTCTATCTCGATACCACTTCCCGCCTTTCAACCCACTTGCTATGCCCCAGTACAGCTACCGTCTTCTCCTGGCTATTCCATGCCTCAAGCATATCCCTGTAGCTTTCCTTTCACGTGTCCAACTCAGCCATGTACATTTCTCTACCCTTCTTGTCGCCCAACACGGACGTTTTGCAGCGACATGAACCCGGTCTTTGCACTCGGAGCCGCATGCACATGTGTTTGAACTTGTCGTCTTCATTGTCTTCCTTCCCGAATCTTCGTCAACGTCCTCAAAGGCTGTTGTCCCCAGTCTTAATTTTTACCTTCGGCTGTGTTCCTTCATCCATTGGTTCGTGAAGGTACCTATTCTTTCTTTCAACATCAGTACACAGCTAGACCCTCCGTATCCTTGGATCCTTTTGTTAGATTGTGTTATCTCTCGGTAGAGTAGCAGATTTCTTGTTCTCGAACCCCTATAGTCTAAACCTAACCGTTCGTTTCCAATGTATCGACCTCATCGATTTTGAACCATTCCATACGTCGTCTGCAACCTTAGTCCACTCCCGGGTTGTTTACCCCTAATCTTGTTTGTCCTCTTCGCCTCCCGAGCTTCTCTCGGTAACCTCTCCTCTCCCATATCGTACACCATACCGTATTTCTTGCCAGTTTGCTTCCTCTTACGCCTCTTCCCGATCGTAGGAGTTGGATCCGACGGGGAGGTGTACTCCCTCTCTCCTGTTTTGGATGCCCTAGCGGTTAGACCATTGATCGCGCGTTCTCGACAGGCCGCAGGATTGTTCCCACAGAATCGATCACCGATGGCCAAACTTTCGATCCTACTTTCCCAAAAAGGTGGCTCAAAAATGTTTTTTCTAGTCATCTATCCTGTCGACATCAGTTCCCACCTTTTCAACCCATTTGCTTTTCCTCAATACAGCTACCGTCTTCTCCTGACTATTCCATGCCTCAAACATGCCTCTTACCTTTTCCTTGTACTCCTCCCAGCTCGTTCATGTACGTTTCCCTCTCTTTCTGGTACAACGGACACTCCGCAACTACATGAACATGGCCTTCGCACTCGGAGCTGCATTCGCACGTAAAGTTGTCGTCTTCATCGTCTACGTTCCAAAGTCTTCGGGAAAGTTCTCGAAGGCAAATGTCCCCAGTCTTAAATTTGACTTTCAGCTATGTTCCCATATCCATTGGTCCATGAAGAAGGTACTCCTATAATCTATCCCTTTCAACATTCTGTACACATGCAGACCCTCCCTATCCTTGGTGTCATTGATTAGGTTATGTTCTTCGCTCTCGGCAAAAGCAACAGATATCTTCTCCTTGAACCCTGTAGGCCTTGCGTTTCCAGTGTATCTCCTTCGTCGATTTTGAACCCCTTTAATGCGTCATCTACAACATTAACCCACAGTCCTTAGGTTGGGACACCCATTCTTCTTGTTTGCTCACTTCGCCTCCTAAGCTGTTCTCGGCAACCTCTCCCCTCCCATACCGTACATACGTACATGCGATACTGCCGTCTAGGGGGGAAGTATACGACTATATCTATTGTGTACTTACATCAGTAGTGTCTCGTGATGAAATCCACCTAGAAAGACCTGTGTCCTCTGCACAGGGCAATCGGTTTACTCTACATAGAAATAAGAACGAGAACCCCGCTTATCATAGGTGGATGCCTGCCCCAAATATGAACTTGGCAAACAAGAACGTGTGTTCGGTTGGAAGCAACCACTAGACTAAGCATTGAGCCTCAAGCTAACAAGCGAGTCTGAACTGGTGGCGCATTCTGGATATAAACAGCCCATGGGCACCACGTCGGGCCCATGGGCGCCAACAATGAGGAAACCAGCTGTAAAGAAAGCGGTCTACCCACTAGACTACTTAGTCGCGGCGACAAAGTAGTCTAGTGGGTAGACCGCTTTCTTTACAAAAGATATGCTGTGTGGGTTCATTCACCGGCAGGGACCTCCGAGGTCTTACACCCCTCGCCGCGCACTCCTGTAATCCAAGGCCTGACCAAGACTTTCTCTCGAAAGAAACGCTCCTGCCGGAACTCGAACCCCCGACAAAGCCCATGTAAAGAAAGCGGTCTACCCACTAGATAGACTACGTTTTAGTCGCCGCTTTCTTTACACCATCTTTCTCCTAATAATCGATAGATTATCAACTTTGGAACGGGCGTCGTAGCAGCTAATAATGACCCTAACACACAACTTTAGCCACGGCACATCAACATAGGCACCCAGCGCCGACCTACATAGCATGTGTCGTGTGGGCTTGGGGCTAGGGTCAGGGTTAGGGTTANAAAAAGGAAAAAAAATTAAGTCATACGCAGCTGTCATCCGTACGCAAGGAAGTACGCACAAGATGCCGAAATCCCTTAGCAGCGCACCCTTAATGCGACTCGCCGAATATCCCACGGCGCTTCGCGCTTGGTGATGTGAGAGCCTGGTCCGGTGAGAATCCGGCGTGCTCCCTCCCGGCTTTGTAGGGATGCGAGGTCAATGGTCTAACGACTACGGCATGCCCGACTATGAGTACACCCCCCCCCCCCCTATATGGACAAATTTTTTGTTAACGCGCATATCTACGTGACTATCTGCCGGCCCCCCGCAAACTATTTTTTGATTTTCTCGCAAGGCCGTTAGCTTTCGTTTGCGCACCTCCGCGCGACGATCCGACTATCCCATCACAAGTCACAGCGACAGACGCGCCACCAGGCATGGTTTGGCGTACCCTAGCACTTTTCTCGGCCTTGCTGCTAGGCATGGGCCGGTCTAGAGTTGATCCCGCAGCCGCTGCGAAGGGCTGTAAAGGGGTCCGCAGCGGCAGCATGTCACGCAAGGCCGCTGCTGCTGCCTTCGGGGTGAACGGGACGTCGCTGCTGCGGCGCCTGAGGTGTGAGTGCGCGATGGACACGAAGGTTGGCCACGGGACTGTGCTGACCAAAGCGGAGGAAGATGGGATGGAAGATGTCCTGCTGTAGGCTGGTCGGAACTATATTCCTCTCACCAAGGCAGACCTCCAGGAGCGTGTGAGACAGCTCTGGAACGACGGTCGGCCTATCCCGTGGGACCCGGACAACGGCCCGGGGAGGGCCTGGCTCTCTGATTCCCTCGGACGGCACGAGCGCATCAACCTTCGACTCGCCCGCATCTACGAGGCCAACAGGATGACCTCTCTGGAAGATGAGCGTGTGCACAAGTTCTACGACTTCTGGCAACAGTTCGTCCACGAGCACAAGCCGGAGCCCGACCACGCTTGGAACACGGACGAGTCAGGTGAGCATACCGTAGTGATCGGGGTCTTGGCACATATCGGGGTCTCGGCACATATCGGGGTCATGGCGCAGGGTGTGCGGGAAAAAAGCGGGTTCCGAATGATTTGCTAGATTACCGCACAGGTATCGTCGACTCCGCGCACTGTGCGGAGACGCCAATATGTGCGGTGAGGTTTGGCGGTAAGTGATACCCGTTCACCAGCATCTTGTGCTGGAAATTCCGGATACTGTGGGAGCTTGAATCGCGTGCTCCACTGCTACTGCCGCCCTTGGCACCATGACGATGTTCAAAAATGTGGTATTTGTACTCTTTGTTCTCTTCTTTTCGTTCTGAAGAATCAAGATCGGCAAATCGGCAAATCGGCAAACGGCATCCACTCAACAATTCTAAGCGAAGATGAAACCAAAAAAGAAGCAAAAAATCACACCAAACCACCACTACGAGCTACCAACGTCCTACTACTGTACTTCCTTGGCGGGTTGAACTCTACTTCGTGCTCGCGCCCCTACCATCGCAAAAACATCCAATCTCACTGGCAATCCCAAAGAACTATGATTCAAAGTTCGACTAATTCTCCTTCGGCGCCCCCGCCCCCCAATCCCAAAGAACTATGATTCAAAGTTCGACTACTTCTCCTTCGGCGCCCCCG